AAAAAAAAAAAAACAATAATAAATAAATACGTACAATGATAATAATAATAAAAACTTGTACCTTATATACTTGCATATATATAACATTTACATTAATATCTACATCTATATATTATTATTATTATTGTTATTTGTATAGCTTGAAGAACAAAAAAAGAAAGCTTCTGAAAATGAAAACTCTGAAAAGAAAAAGAAGAAGGCCACAAAGACCGCTGCTCCTGTATACGTTAATAAAACACCTAAGGGTGAAAAGAAAGGTAATAAATAATACAAGAAGAATAAATAAAACACACACATACAAGTATATATTCATTATTGATATAATACACATTTTTATTATTTATTTTTATTAAATGTTTTTATTATATATATACTGTAGATATGAGCGATCCTATTGCTAATGCTTATGATCCCCATGCTGTTGAATCCGCTTGGTATGAATGGTGGCTCAAGGAAGAATTCTTTAAACCAGAATTAACCAAGGAAGGTAACGTGAAACCAGAAGGGTTATTTGTTGTCCCTGCCCCACCACCAAACGTAACTGGTTCTCTTCATATTGGTCATGCTTTAACTGTTGCTATTCAAGATACTTTAGTCCGTTGGAATCGTATGTTGGGTAAAACTGTCTTATTTAATCCTGGTACTGATCATGCTGGTATTTCTTGTCAATCTGTGGTTGAAAAAAAATTATGGAAAGAATCTCAAACAACACGTCATGATCTTGGTCGTGAAGCCTTTATTGCTGAAGTATGGAAGTGGAAAGAAAAATATGGTGATCGTATCTATGAACAGTTTTATCGTTTAGGTGCTTCTTTTGATTGGAGTCGTGCTGCTTTTACTATGGATCCTGTAAGTCTATATTCATTTATTTATTTTTTAAAAAGAAAGAAAAAGTGAAAGACTTTTTTTTTTTTTTTTTTTTTTTTTTTTTTTTTTTTTTTTTTTTTTTTTTTTTTTTTTTTTTTTTTTTTTTTTTTTTTTTTTTTTTTATCACAATATAGAAATTATCTAAAGCTGTCCGTGAAACTTTTGTACGTCTTCACCGTGAAGGTGTTATTTATCGTGCTAACCGTCTTGTCAATTGGTGTGTTCGTCTTAATACCGCCTTATCCAATTTAGAAGTTGAAAATAAAGAACTTACTGGTCGCACTTTATTAAATGTACCTGGTTATGATGCTAATGAAAAATTCGAATTTGGTGCTCTTAATGAATTTGCTTATCTTGTTGAAGGTACCGATGAACGTATTGTTGTTGCTACCACCCGTATTGAAACTATGCTTGGTGATACTGCTATTGCTGTTCATCCTGATGATGAACGTTATAAACATCTTCATGGTAAATATGTTATCCATCCCTTCTTAGATCGTCGTATTCCTATTATTACAGAGGATATTGCCGTTGATATGAGTTTTGGTACTGGTGCTGTGAAAATGACACCTGCTCACGATTTCAACGATTATGAAGTTGGTAAACGTCATAATTTAGAATTTATTAACATTATGAATGATGATGGCACTTTTAATGAAAATGCTGGCCCTTATCAAGGCATGAAACGATTCCATGTACGTAACAAGATCATTGAAGATTTGAAGGCCAAGGGATTATTTGTTGGTGTAAAGGAAAATCCAATGACTGTTCCTATCTGTAGTAAATCTGGTGATATTATTGAACCTATTATGAAACCTCAATGGTGGGTCAATTGTAAACCTTTAGCTGATGAAGCCATTAAGGCTGTTCGTGATGGTAAATTAAAGATTGCTCCCAAAGTATCTGAAGGTGATTGGTTTAGATGGTTAGAAAATATTCAAGATTGGTGTATTTCTCGTCAATTATGGTGGGGTCATCGTATTCCTGCTTATTATGTTGTAATGGAAGGTGCTACACCTGACTATTCTGATAACACTTATTGGGTAAGTGGTCAAGATGAAAATGAAGCTAAGGCTGAAGCTGAACGCAAATTCCCTGGTAAGAAGTTTACTTTGGAACAAGATCCTGATGTTTTAGATACTTGGTTCTCTTCAGGTTTATGGCCATTCTCTCTTATGGGTTGGCCCGATAAGGTATGTATATTATATATAAAGGAAAAATAATAAGAGAAAGAGAAGAGAAAAAAAAATATAATAAATATTCTTTTTTTTTTTTTATTAACGTGTTTATTATTATCATTTTTTTTTTCTATATATTTAAATTTAAATATAGACCGACGATATGAAAAACTTTTACCCTACTTCATTACTTGAAACTGGTTGGGATATTCTTTTCTTCTGGGTTGCTCGTATGGTTATGTTTGGTATCAAATTAACAGGTCAAGTACCTTTCTCTGAAGTATTTTGCCATGCTATGATTCGTGATGCTCATGGTCGTAAAATGTCTAAATCTCTTGGTAATGTTATTGACCCCATTGATGTTATTGAAGGTATTACTTTAGAAGGATTACATCAACGTTTACTTGAAGGAAATCTTGATTCTCGTGAAGTTGAAAAAGCTAGATCTGGACAGGTAATTAAGAATAATAATAGTAAGATAAATATTTATTAATGTATATTTATGATTGATGTATTGATTTTCTTCCTTTTCCTTTTACCTTTTTTTTTTTTTAAATATTAATAATATTAACAGAAAGCTGATTTCCCTAAAGGTATTCCTGAATGTGGTACTGATGCTCTTCGTTTCGCTTTATGTGCTTATACTACTGGTGGTCGTGATATTAACTTAGATATTTCACGTGTTGAAGGTTATCGTAAATTCTGTAACAAGATTTGGAATGCTACTAGATTTGCTTTAATGAAATTAGGTGATGGTTTTAAACCTGTTGCTGATGCCAAGGTAAAAAAATAAAACATAAAAAAAGATAAAAAAAAAAAAGAAAATAATATAAGAGGAAAGAGAAAAAAAGCAAAAATATTCATCTTTTTATTTTTATTATATATAGGCAAGTGGTAAAGAATCATTAGCAGATAAATGGATTTTGGATAAATTAAATAAAGCCGCCGTTGATACCAATAAAGCTTTAAGCGAACGTAACTTTATGGCCGCCACTAGTGCGGTATATCAATTCTGGATGTATGAATTATGTGATGTATATATTGAAGTAATTAAACCTATTTGTGATGCTGATACAAGCAATGATGCTGAAGCTCAAGAACGTAAAACCACTGCTCAAAACACATTATACACCTGTCTTGAAGGAGGTCTTAAATTAATGCATCCTTTCTCACCATTTGTAACTGAAGAATTGTATCAACGTCTTGAACGTCGTCCCGGAGACACTATCCCAACTATCCTTAAAGCTAAATATCCTGTCAATGAACCCTCATATATTAATGAAGAAGCATCTAAACAATTTGATATTGTCTTTGAAGCCACCAAATCTATTCGTAGTTTAGCTGTCCAATTAGATAGAAAGAAGGATGGTATTTGTCATATTCATACAGATAACAATCAATTACAAGATTTATTCAAATCAGAAACTAGCTCCATTTTAGCTTTAGCTCGTGGTATCAAGGATTTATCAATTTCTTCCAAACAAGAGGCCCCTGCTGAATCTGAATCTTCTAACGTTAATGATGATATTACTGTATACTTACTTAAATAGATTTATTTATATCAGCACATTTTTTTAAAAAAAGAAAAAGAAAAATTATATATATATAATTTATAACACATGTAAAAAATAAATAAAAATATTAAAGCAAATACAATATCAATTTTTTTAACAAAATAAATAATAAACATAGTTATATAAATACAAATATGTATTTTTTATCTTTCTATAGCATTTAATTACACCATAAGTATATGATATTTTATATATATTCAGTATTCTATTTTTTTTTTTTGGTTAAAGGTTGGTGGAAGGTTATTCTTGATGGAAATAGTCAACTCGGCGGAAAAGGCATGAAACTGGAGAATGCCCAATAATTATTGGTCCCATTGATTCAATATGAAAAAAATGGTTTAATGATAATGAATTAAATGAAAGCAATATTTAATAAAGAATATTACCAGTATTGCCTGAAGAATATAAATAAACGCGTAAAGGCCACTCATTCGGCAATAGACTTGGTCCAATATTCACGTGATCATTCTAATAATTCTTTACAAATAATAAACTATAGGTACAGGAAATGATGATATAGAATAGTAAATCATCAGCATTATATTTAACTTCCTGGGATAATTCTTCCGAGCATGAAATTTTACGTTGGTTATGTAATTTGTCCACAAGTTTTTTGATAATCTTACTATTTATGTATAGTTTGGAGAGGTGGTTAGAATTGAA